TCAGCTGTTGACTTCAGTGCTACGGTACATACCTAGCTTCGAAGGAGGGGGAGTGTTTGAGTTGAAGGTTTCACTCTCCATAAGCATGTGGTTTCTGACGCCCTCGCCATGCTGATGTAATAAGCAACCACGGTATACCCGGGGTAGCCTACCTAGATGCCTGAAGCTACCGGTACTTTACCTAGGCAGTCCCAATCCAGTCTTAAAATATTCCGACCGCCGGCCGGCGCATGGTCTTTTGTTTCAATTTCGGGTAGGTCGGTGTTTGGATTTGAAAGTGGGTCTTTTCGTCACCTTTCAAAGTATATTATGAGAGATTTCCACCTCAAATATGCGCAATCTGAAGTCAGCCAGGTCGGCCTGGTATGGTACCGTCTCAGAAATGTGACGTCGCCAACCCTAAGATGGGTTGATGTCAGCATGAGAGTTTACAGTGGAAGTCCATCGTCACCCTGTTTCCGCGTGCCGTCATAATATTCGAAAGATCCAAACTGCAGACTTGCGCAAATCATGGAAACGAAATAGGGGCATCTTGTTAAGGTGACATCCACCCCCTAAATCGAAACAAATCTGGCGAACAGCCTCCCGATGATTGAACCCCGGCCTGTAAGGTACGACATTATGTGAACCGTTCGATGACAAGAGAAACGTCAAAGTTCCATCCGCACCGTGCGTGTGAGAAAAGAATCTGGTTTTGACGTTGGGCTGATCAATGTTATCCATCCATTTATGCGCCACTTGTGAGTCGGAGACTCGGAGTGACATTTAATTAGGGAGTGACGTTTTGGTGACCGGGGATTCTCAACCGCATAGTTGAGTCCGCCGCCTCATTCCGCGTATGTCACGGTACCGTAACGGTACGGTAGGTACTATCATGATGCAGGGGGGCCGCCGGGTGCGACACGGGCGGCCGGCCGCGCGGGGGCGGGCGTTCACCCCCGGGCCGACGGTCCCTCAGTGGGCAAAATGGACGGTCACGTCACGCTGTCACGCCAGGCTGCATTGCCAGGGGCCACAATTGTCCATTGGTAGGTCTACCGTCTGTGTACCGTCTGATTCATGTAGGTATGTATGTTATCTGATCGGCTAATTTCAAACTGTAGGCTTTGCAATGAATAATTTGAATAAAACATTTGCATAATAAGTATGCTACAATAATGCCTAGGTGTTGGATCAGTGTAATCCTGGAGCCTTTGCATAACTTGTCAGCACTTGTCATAGGTAGCATTGTTGGATACTTCGAACTTGAACGCTGTTCCGATTGTTTCAAGCGCTATGCACCTGGGTGTGCACGCGTTCATGGAAACGAAGTGACCATCGACTCGATCCTCTGACGCCGGGCCGGTCGGCTCCGGGCACCACGCGGAGGTGTGCAACAGTGCAAGCGAATACCGTACTTGCAAAGACTGTGTCAATTAAAGTACCTAGTGGGCGCCGGCTTTGTCTAAAAGCCCGTTCTCAAATACATGAGACTGTCAACCAACCGGGATGTCAGATCGATGGTTCTTGTTGAATGCACATCCACTACCGTACTATGAAAATCTGCAATGTGTCCGAGGCTGACAAGTAGGGGGACAAAAAGGGGACACGTAGGGACAAGTAGTGAGTGGCACGTGAGTGGTATCGGTGAATGCGGCACAAGCGGTTGAGGTAACTTCTCACTAGGTACCCACTTCTCGAGCCCGGGTCATTGATTAGTGTTGGGCAGTCGCCATTCATCCATTCAAAATTTCAAACCGGAAAAGAAAAAGAAACGGATCTAGATGCTATATCGGAGCATGCACTGATCTAAGTTCAAAATTATTAACGAGCCCCAACTGATTGCATATACCGGTAGCTTGATTGCGGCCACAACCCTTTACAGCAAGATTATACTCTAAGCCTAAGATCTCGTGCTCAACGGTTGATTTCGAGCTGCTCAGAGCATTGATATTTGGAGGTCACCAGCCCGATTTCCGTAGAAAATTACGCTTTGTCTGCTTCGTGTCTAAGGCTTGCACTCTGAGCCCTTGTGGTTTGCTAGAGGGCCATACACTACTTGCCAGGTAGACACGCAAGTTCTCGTTTTCGCACTGGCTTCGAAAATGACTGAAACATTCGCAGAAGTCCTCTTATTCGTTACTCCCCACTTAGAAAGGCCCCAAACGTTTTTTCCTTTTTTGAACTCTAGTTCGCATTGTCGCACATTGGTCGAAATTCAGTTTCCTTCTTTCGCAATGGACTCAAAAAATCCGTGTAGTGCGAATGGGAATGGCAGATGTGTCTTGTGCATGTTCAAATTTGAACTAGTAGTCCTCCGTACTAGCGAGAGAACACTGCGGTCGTCAGCAATGTGCACTTTAACTTTGTCATCATCAAGATGGGAGAACCTTGCCAACCCAACGAGGCTTCAGGTGCTCTAGACAAGACTTTCCTGAAAGTGTTGTTGCCTTTGTACAAAGAGGCTGAATGTGGACTCGACCAGAGATGCATATAATAGGCTTACAATCGACTTGGCTTGCAAGCAAACAGGAAGAAGCCGACAATCACACAAAGCCACTCAATCTTTTACACAGCGACTCCGTCCTATTTCAACTCCTCACGCACTGCCACTGCAGACTCTTTGATAGGATTGAAAGCCTCACTCCGTCAAATTTTGAACCAAGTACACACAGACATCAACCCAACGGGTCAAAGTAACGAAGTGAAACAATACCAAAGGCTTGGGAACGCAAATGAAGAATTTGGCGAAAAAACCTCTCGTGGCTTTGGACCCTGATCAAGAATATCTCGCGTGATTAAAAGCTGAAAACTGGTTCCTTTCGCACTTGAACACTTTCTCGGGACTTGAAACAGGCCTGGGATCCACTGCCCACCATCCGCATCAATGCACACATCAGCCTGTCCGTCTACAGTCTCTTAGTATTCTCCTCTTGCTGCCCTCCCCACAGCCGAAGCTGGCTCAAACCCGACTGTTTATCTCGCTGGCTACAGCGAACCGACCCAAGACCAAAGTCCTCCAACAGATGGGCTCCGCTCAAGAGACGCCCTTTGCGTTGCTTAGATCAAGTCTGCGACGTTGCTGGGCAGCTCCTCAACAACGGTGTTGTAGAAGCGCTGGATGTCCTGCAGCATGCGCTCGTCGTCCTTGGTGACGAAGTTGATGGCAACACCCTTCCTCCCGAACCGCCCAGAGCGGCCAATCCTGTGCAGGTAGTTCTCGGGCTGGGTGGGCAGGTCATAGTTGATGACCAGAGACACCTGGCACAGGGAGCGGTGTCAGAACCGGAGCGCGTTGGATGCAGCATGCAAAACACATGCCAAAATGCCCCCCCTTCTAATCTGCGGGCCACGAATAAACTTGGTGCCACTTTGTGGCGGGAGTTCGAGTGTCAGCCTTTGAAGACGCAACTCGCATTGGGAGATAACAAGAAGGTTCTCACCTGCATCAAACACGTGGCGAACGACCGCTGCGGGAGTCGTCTGCCCTCATGTGGATGCTAAAATGCGCGTACCAAATAACAAACTGAACTGCCGGCACATATACACTGGAAAGACAAAAAACACCAAACCGGGAAATTCCGTCGAGCTTCGCTGGCGGCAACAAAGCCTTTAGTCGAAAGCAATCTCATTCATAGGCATCCCACACCAAACTCCATAACAAAAGCTCTCTGACATCAGCCGAAGAGTGGAGGCGCTCACCTGCTGCACGTCAATTCCACGAGCAAGCAGGTCAGTGGTGATGAGCACACGGGAGGACCCAGAGCGGAACTCGCGCATGATGATGTCACGGGTGTTCTGGTCCATGTCTCCGTGAGTGGCGGACACAGTGTGGTCCTTGGCGCGCATCTGGTCGGTGAGCCAATCGACCTGCAATGATCAAAGAGATTACGTTTGTCAACGTTGATGCGAGCTGGGTAGAGTAGAGAATGCCTGAAGAACAACACCATGCCTAAAAAGAGAATTGGCACGTCCAGACTGGTCGTTGATATCCCACGAAGTGTAATATTCCTCCTAGAAGGGCAAGCGATCTTGACGAACCACCAAAGCTGGACATCAACGACCTCGACTGCCTTTGCCTCACTTGAATATCTGATCCCAAATCCCACCCCAGACAAGGCACGAATAGGACGCAGGCCCAGCGTTTTGCCGACCATCCGTCGAGCTGCTCAAATCTTTTCCGCGAGTCAGACAGCCTATCGTCCTTATGAACCCCCGTTCTATCAAAGACAGACTTGCTCTTCTTTATCATACTGAACAGCACACCGCCTCCAATATCATAAGACCTTTACAATGCCATCCACTTTCAACGAGCTTCGTCCTGGCCCGTACACATCGTTCAGGACGATGAGTTCAAACAGGAGTTAACAGCTTGTATCTAACGAGGTTCGTCCTGGCCCGTACACATCATTCAGGACGATGAGTTCAAACAGGAGTCAACAGCTTGTATGGCAGGCCGGAGCACCGGCACCTACCAACCACGCTTCCCAGCTGGCGAGCAAGCCTTACCTTGCGCCTGGTGTTGGCGAAGATGACGCTCTGCGTGATGGCGAGCGTCTCGTACAGATCGCAGAGCGTGTCCAGCTTCCACTCCTCCCTGTCCACGTTGACGTAGAACTGCTTGATACCCTCCAGGGTCAGCTCGTCACGCTTCACGAGGATGCGCACCGGCTTGTTCATGAACTTCCTCGTGATCTCGAGCGCCTCCGGGGGCATGGTGGCGGAGAAGACGCCGACCTGGAGCTTGGGGGGCAGCAGCTGGAAGATGTCGTAAATCTGCGCAGGCAAGAGAAGGTCGGTAAGATAGATGGAGATGGATAGCGGCGTGACAGGCTTGATAGCAAGCAGGGAGAAGGGTCGCTAGATGTATCTTAGCAGATAGCGAGAACAAACCGAGCAGGTGAGCATAGTTCAAGAGTAAGAAACAAGTCGAAGACACTACGTTGAAAGGAGGGGGCCTACTTGAAACAATCTCTTTTGTGCTTCAAGTGGGAAATGCTCTAGAGCGCCTTCGCTAGGGCAAACTTAATTGACGAACTGGGGGCATTCCAACCAGTGCAGCAATCTCCCCAGCAAGATCGGAGCAACATCAGAAATCCATCAAGGAAAGGCGGCAGTTCCAGGATTTTCCGAGGGTCGTGATAATTACACCAGCTGCAACGAGTAGCACAGCTCCCAGAATTATTAAGGATTAGCATAGGGTGGCTCACTGTCAGAGAATTCTGCAGCTACAGCAAGGGCACACTTGAGCAGTTAAGAGAAGGCCTACCAAACCGGTGTTCTAAGAAGATAGCTCTTTGCCCCACTGCCCCAGAGTTGCCCCACTGGGCGTTCTGATAGTTGCCCCTCAAAAACACAGGGCCCAAGAAACAGCACCCGTCTCCTTCGTGACTGCTCATCTGGTCAGTCCAAAGTGCCCATCTATCCTGTCCCACAAGGACTTTGACCTTTGATCCTGTCCAGTCACTGTGGTGCTCCATAGAGTTAATCAAAAACCTGGAATCCCCCACAAAACTGATCGAGCAACACCCGCCCCGCCAGATCCTAACAACTGCTGCCCATCACCGCACCTGGTCCTTGAAACCCCTGGAGAGCATCTCATCGGCCTCGTCGAGCACGAACATCTTGATGTTGTCGGGCCTGAGCGCATGGCGACGCAGCATGTCGTACACACGCCCGGGCGTCCCGACCACCACATGGACACCGGTCTGGAGGATCTTCTGGTCCTCGCGCACGCTGGTACCGCCCACGCAGGCGTGCACCTTCACCGCAAGGTAGTCCCCGAGGGCGCGCATGACCTACATCAATAGGCGCACCTAGTGAGCCACCGTGGCGCATGACCATTACCAACAAGGGCTCTCCGCAGCCGTTCCACTCTAGTTCCAGCCATATGTTCAAGCCTTCTGCTGTAGTAGAAGGGTTAGGGTTCTCATGACTCAAACTCCCATGCTCCATCGATTGCAGACACTATGACCGCCCACCTTTTCTCTCTTCCTTCTGAAAGGACTCAGATACTGGCAGCAACACTTGGGGACCGTTACCGCCCCAAAGAGAACAACAACTCAAGAATTGCCAGCTGCTGATTCTAGAATTGCTCGCGATCGAAACGCAATCACCATCTGACTGCGAGTGTAGCCGGCGCCATAAGTAATTTCGAACAAGCACCAACTGAATCTCTACCCCGAAGACAACACACTTTTGAAACCTAGGGAAGACAGATCTCTATCACTATGTGTGCCCACCCCCATACAAAATGAAACAGTGTCAAGTAGGCCCGCTGCCCCACCTTCTCGATCTGCTGTGCCAGCTCGCGGGTAGGAGCGAGGACCAGGGCCTGGGTCTCCTGGAGGCCATAGTCAATCTGTTGGAGGATGCCGGAGCAGAAGGTGGCGGTCTTGCCAGTCCCAGACTGGGCCTGCTGGATCACATCGAGGCCCTTGGTGAAGGGCACAATCCCGCGCTGCTGGATGGCAGAGGGCTTCTCAAAACCTGCACGGACAAAGTAGAATGAAACACTGCACGCAGATGGATTCAGTAGAAACTAATTACGGCCTGCAGACAGTTCGTCAGGAGGTAGAGAAACTGGTATAACCCACAAACCGTTCCCAAAACTGGAACTGGAAGGAGTGCCCACATACCAGGCCAGCATCTGCAGAATTGGAGTATGTAAGTACCTTTTCAAGTGCTGTAAATCCACAATCTGTCTGGGCTCTCTGGGTATGAAATGCTTTACCACCGGGCTCTTGGGCACTCACCGTACGCATAGATACCACGGAGCAGGTTCTCATGCAGGCCCATGGCATCGAAGGATTCCGCCACCTCGTCCCATGTTGAGAAGAGCTCACCGTCTCCCTCCTCGTTCAGACTGTTCACAAGAGGACATACTCAGAAACGCCTAACCAGAACTGCGAGCGCACCATAAAGGACACAACAGGATGGCACCGAGATGATTCACCCACCAATCTAAACCGGTAAAGAGGAAGACAGTATTAGGGCGAGAGAGCAAATGGTAGCCTGACTCATGCAGGCAGAGCAACCTTTACCAGTTGGGTGGGGAAAGCGAAGGCCTTCTCAGGTGCGCGGCAAAGGTTATCAAGCTCACACTTGCTGGAGCTTCTCGTCGTACTGTTTGGCATCAAACTGGGCACCTTCCGGGGCTGAACCGGCCATACTTTGCTGCACAAAGCACGTCAAAGGGAGTGAATTTCCACGAAGTTCTGGTTGATGGATGATGCCTTGATCCGCCGAGCAAACGACAAGCGCCAGCTTCGGGGCAGGTCAAATTTATTCAGCTGGAATCAAGACACCAGGAGACTGAACAGGTCTGATACACCATGGCTCATGGGCTCACCTTACTTTCGCTTGTTTAGGGCGCTCGACCTTAGCTGTTTGGAAATTGGAAAAGGACGATGGCGGTCGTTGGCAGGCCCTTTGACGCACTCCAGCTCGGACAAGCTTGGCGAAAGCGGGTAGGTTCGATGTAGCAAGGATTCGAACACAGTAGCAGGCTGAGAGTATATAAATAATGAAGAGGAGCAGCCTTTCGACGTCGAACGGTATCGAGCGAGTGGAATTTGGCGCCAAGTCGGTGCGTCACCATTTCAAGCTCTTGAAACATGATGCCCTCAGAGTCAAAGCTGCCACTGCAGCCTGCAGGTCGGTGAAAACAGGACGTGAGAGACGATAGATATCGTGCGAAGTTCATGAGCAGAAGAAAGTGGTGGAGCGTGTTGTGTGCAGGACCGTTTTGCGGTAGTCTCAGGGGCACTTCGAAGTTGAAAGCCTACTCCTGACGAAAAGTATCTGATTGTCAAGGTAGATTGAGGGTCGAAGACAAGCTCTTGCCTGATCCGGCTGGACGAACTGTCTTCTTCCTGACGGCGGCGCGCATGATTGTTGTGGTCATGTTGGGGTGAAAAGAGTACTTATACCTATTTATCACCAAGCAAGTGCGATCGATTGGACGGATCTCAGGCTGCCAAAACAAGCATTAGGGTTCAGGCAATTAAAGCATCAATGGTCGCAGATCCGGTCAACTCTGTGGGTCTACAGTCCATAGGCTGCTGACCTAACGCAGGGGCCAGGAAAGCTGTGTTTCAGTGAAGGTGATTGGGTTGTTGCAGCCATCCATTTTAGCTTTCGCATTTGACAAAGAAAAACAGCGGAGCGAATCATGGCTTTGGTGCAGCTGCCGGCATTGAAACTTGGCCAAGCGTGCCTTCTCGCAGACAGCGGGGCAAGAAACTGCGCCCAAAATGTCTCCTCCTGGGGCTTCTTGGGTCCTCGATGCACGGTGGAGAGAGCGACTACATGTCAGCAGCAAGCTTGCGTTGCAGAGTTGGACTGTCTTCCCACATTCAGTGGCAGGGTTCGCTCTACTGTGGCCTCCAGTCTAGAAAGATCTAGACGTTGGGTCAAGTCGGGAGTGTATGGAAGGGGCAGCAAAGCCAGCGTTGCGGGCCGGGGCAGCACTTTGGATTTCAGGATACGCGCCGAAGAAAGCACGTTTGAGGCGGTGACGGACTGGGAGCCAATCGCTACGGCGGCAGCAGCAAGCATGGCCGCCCAGCTGCTCACTTCAGAGGACGAGCACGCGACGACTCCCGAAAGCTCCCATGCAGACCAAGAGAAGACTGATGAAGCTTTGGGGCACCGGACGTCTGGGGCTGTGAAAGCGCAGGTCCGGGCAACTAATCGAGCAGGCAACCGGGCGCAGACGAACGGGGCGGCAGCTAGGGAGCATCTGGTTCAGGACCTGATCAACGGCCATGATCATGCAATCCCGCTGGGGCGGAGTGCAAGCAGAGGCGGCCCGCTGAAAGTTGCTGTTGACGTGGATGAAGGTGAGCCAATTGAGTCCTCCATCAAAGCTCAGTGACGTCTTGTGGATGGCAGCTCACATTAGTTTTCAAATCTTTTCTGTACGGAACTTTTCAAAGGCATCAAGACTCCGAGCGGCTGTTTCAACACGTGGGCACAAGGGGGCACCGTTCTTCTTGACCTTTTCAAAGAAACATGGTGCCCTTAGATTCCCAGAGGTGCATGAGAGGATTCATGGCTTGCTCCGCAGCTTGGGATATCGCTTCAGCTTGATGACAGTCCTACTCAAATCTTTTGAAGTTGTTGACATCGTCAACCTCTAGTGGTATTGAAAAAAAATCCGAATCTGAGTTGGCTGCCCCTCTTTTGGTCTATGTGCAGTCTTGTGCAGTTTCCTGGCCACTCTGAACATCTACTGCGCAGAGGCATACGCGATGCACTACGATGTATCTCAGTACCACGTGTATGATTTTAGAAAGGTGAGCATGTTATATCCCATCAATCACTTTCTACAGGAATTGCGCCCAACTCCCGCGCACTGTGAAATCAAGGCTTTTGCATTTGAGATTGAGAGTAAGCTGTATTGGCTCTGATCGCAGGACAAGAAGTTGGAACAGTTCGCCCCTGCTTTGATCAACCGTTTGTGCACTAATCCTGCTTCATTCGCTGCTCCAGATATGGAACTGCTCCCAGGAAGAAGGTAAGTTGTATGTTTGACGACCGTCAAGTTCAAGGTTTGTTTGCAAACTGCCTGTCTGCCCAGGGTTAACAAGAACCTGTCGTCCTCTTTGAGGAGTGGTTGTTGTTTGGTTGGCTCAAAACGCTTTCTCTCGATACAATTTGCTCCATCTTAAGCAAAGGTTAAGTTGAAAGGAAGTCTTTTTGGGTGTGCAAGCATATGTGTGCCATTCTTGGCAACCAGAATCTGTGTGGAGACTGGGGCATATGGCAGTCCAGGAGTCCTCAGGTGGGAGTCACTCAAGATCCTTCTGATGCTACTATGCAGCGAATCAAAAGGTGCACGACTTCTTCCAGTCGCGCCACTTCACCAGCGGCATCCCCCCCATTCCGGGCGCATATGAAGCGCTCCAACGACTGTCCATATTCTGCTCCCTTGTAGTTGTTACGTAAGTTTTCAACCACTTACAGCAGTGCCTTTGATGTCACACACGCGTCAGACAACTTCCGAAGGTTGGATTGTTTGCTCGTGGGAGTCAGAGTGTGTCCTGATGTGTCCTGATGCGCTCCTGAAATGGTCAGCAAAGCAACTAGAATTCATTGGCTTGAGAAGGTGTTGGTCTCACTTCCTGCCTTACACGAAACCCCTGCCCTTCCTTGTTTGCAGGTCGAGACAGCACTGCATACAGGAGCCCTCTAGAAGGTGGATAGATGCCCACTACCCAGGTAAGTCAACCACACGCGTTGTCCCTTAGTTGTATCGGTCCTCACCCGTCTCCGGTCCGTATATCTTTACCAGGGGTTGGCAGCTTCAATTTTGTAAGGGCGTACTTATGCAGAGCCGTTACGACTTCTGCCACAGACTCACAAAACGCCAAATTAAGTAGGTGACGAGAAGAGGGGCGTCATGACGAGTTCTCTAGCGTGCCTGATCTTGGTGGAGGCACACCCTGCAGGCCGGGTAGACAACGCCTTTGATCTTACGGTCATCCTCGCTGCTCATGGAAAGCAGCTCTTATGTTGGAAGACTTTCGTCTCTTGGAAAAAACAAAGCAGACGCTCAGCTTGCAGGCTGTTCCTGGAACTATAACACTCGACGGACATCTCGCTTTCCCAGCGACAGGCGCTGTGTTCGAGGAAACGATGAGCACTCAGCGAACACCTGGCAATGAAAAACGTCCAGAGCGACGTCTCTATCTGCCGAGGGGCTGAATTATTCAAGGAACAACAATCTCCATACCGCTGGTATCTAGACAAACCAGAAAGCGTCTATGTTTGCAGAGTTGTTTGAGGAGATTCATTTCGGGAACCACTTCGCGCTTGAGGGGGTCGCTCGGGCCAAGTCCGAAATCTGCAAATCGATTGGAGCGAGGGTGCTCATCGACGACAACCCGCGGTATGCGGTCGAGTGCGCCGAGGCCGGCATCCACGTGCTGCTCTTTGATTGGAATTACGCGTACCCCTGGAGCAAGACCAGCGACGGTGCGTGCAATACAGCCTGGTGGCTCCTCTCAACTGCTCTTCTGCGTTCAGACCGAAGATTGTTGACTTTCCATGCATGTTGAGCTTGGGCGTACCTGTTCGACTTCTCGGAACTCAACGTGGTTCTTTTTTTGAGAAAGTCGAATTCACCGTTAACGAGGCCACGTTCGTTTCTTCTGTACATGACGGAGTGCTGTTGGTAGACATCTGAACCATCACCTACTTTGCCTGCTCCTCGACCTCCAAACTCTGCCTCCTTTCTTTGTGAATCGAGGACGTGTCCAACTCTGCCGTTCGTGACTGAGGGAAAGCAGTAGCGTTGGCTTGACGTTCAATGTGGACATTAGGTCGTTCCCTTGATGGTCTCCATGGATGCAGCCGTAACGTTTGCCGATTATTTACGCAGGACCGGTACACCCTCTCATTCAAAGGGTGAGAGACTGGACGGAGGTAGAGGCTGCCCTGCAGAAGCTAGCGTTGCATGCCGTAGAAAGTGATGAGGGCAGGGAATTCAATGCTCAGCCATCCTGAAAACGATTCTTTGGGGGCCTGCGAGGAGGCTTCCCAATTGTTAACATAACCATTTTGGATGCTCAGAAAGGAAGGCTGGAAGAAACTGCAAGTAAGGTCACTACAGTGAAGTCACCTAGCTATCCTGCAACCATGCGGTCATCTGTATCTTTATCATCAGTAACAACGTCCTGAACTGAATGTGACGCGCCTGTATGTTGGTTGCAACCTGACCAAGCCATGTGCAACACGGATACGAATGGTCACTTGCACGGCCCAATAAATTCATAGCAAGAATCAGGGAGGATGTGTTGACATAGCTTGCATCGCTTAGTTGTCCATGCAACGCTTCGTCGAAGTGTAGTCCGCCAGTACCAGTGCCTACGTCTTCACTGACTTTGAATACATGCTGATCTAGATCGAGCCTCTGTGAATGTTTGGCCTTGAATACCTCGGAACACGTATCGGCAAATTCGTGCGCAATACTATGTAATGCTTGGGCCGGATAACATGGTGCAGCGATCGTGGGCGTGTACGGTACTATGTACACGCCGGTCACTGCTTTACGTAGTGCTTAAGTCAGACAAGGATCAGCTAGCAACATCTGCGTCCGATCTGTTTTCAACCGCGGATTGCCATATATGTTCAAGATCGACTCAAGCTCCATGGCTTGATCGGGGCCCTAGCATCTTTCTTTGAAAGCACTGGAATTCTGAAGAAAAACTCAATGGACTGCTCGATCCATGTTGACGTTACTCCTACTGGCTCCGATTGAGTATACAATCTCATCACGGGGTTCTCCTGGGTAGAATCACAACATATATGCGAGACGGAGTGAATCACTTGATGAGCTGATCCATCTCTACAGCACATCCCTCTCGCGCTTCTCTAAAGTCAGCGACGAGAAGCTAAGAAATATGCGACATCTACTAGTCCCTTGGATTGTAGACAACTTTACTAAACAAAATTTTTACATGGCTAACTCAGGTACCATCACCTTTCGCTCATTTTCGGCCGATGCCGCCACTCTCCTCCTTATGTCTCCCCTCAAGCTCCTCTCCGAGAGCTGTGCCTGGAGGCTCCGTACCAAGCCGAGACCATTTCGTAGTGCCTAGACTCATTTGCCCGTTCGAAGCCGTCCCCTTGTCTAGTCCTTCTGCTAATGATTGCCGCACACCCGCCACTGCTTCTTCCCCATCGTCGGACACGCCCGCTTGACCGTTCGGATCCCGGACACCCGGTTTCTGCTCTTCGATCGGATCCCTCTCGCTTAGAACGTCCATCTGTTGAGCTTCCATTGTTTTGACCTGCTCGAACCGCTTCAGAAGGCCCAGCCGCTCCGAGGCAAACGTACTAGGGATCTGCAGGTGACAAAAAGGAGCTTACTTTGCAGCAAATTGCCGTCTGTGCTTTTAGGAGTACAACAAAAATGAAGGCTCTGAGCAAAGTTAATCGTTAAAGCATGATGGCATGCGTTTAATTTATTGGTGCGATGGAAACATGGGGATGCCATCGATGCTGGTCTTGACGATTGCAAAGCATAGACGTACGCGGTACCTAATGGCAAAGTCATGGCGCAGTGCAGTACCAATGCAGCAACAATGCAAATTGCATGTTTCGATTCGTAAGAGTCCCCAATCCGAGCCCATTTGCATCAAGGTCGCAGTATAGCACCGCCTTCGAGTGAGATTGCAGATCAGTCCCTGAGTCGGGAACAACAGGGCAGGAAAGAGCAGAGAAGGAACCTAGCATCACATATCAAATGTGGCTTCACATCTAACCTAGAGAAAAGACAGAAGAAACAGGAAGGAGGCGGGGACGAGAGCGTAGGCGGGAAGAAAGCGAGATGTAGAGATCATCAAACAGCACGGGAGACAGCCAAACGCAGGCGGCAGCGGTCGAACCGGAAATATTCACCCCCCTCAACTACTGCATGCTGCCAATGCCAGCGAGGATACCGCAACACAAAAGCGGGCCTCGATTTACATTTCCTGCCGAGTCTCCGCATCATGACGGAAAAAGGGGCCGCTCAACCAAAAGGCAGACGGAGATATGGCGACGGTTCCTCACCAGGCCTGGCGCGTACTTCTGGAGCATGGCCAGGAAGAAGGCGTGCCCGACCGCCGTGATGGGCAGCAGCATGACGATGCCGATCGGGATGACGGACGCCACGTCCGTCAGCGTCCGTTTCAAAAAGCGCTGCTCGCGCGCGGATAGGCTCTGCCCGCGCGCCCCCCGCTGCAGCAGCCCCAGCGCCGCCGCCACGTCGCTGCCCAGGAGCTTCGTCCCGCGCCACGCGTCCTGCATAGCCGAAGTGGGGAGTTAATTTAACAAGCGAGGTTTGCACGTAGAAAGCGACGACCTTGCTGGGTGAAGGGAGATGTCTGTTCAGCAACGAGCGAAACGACTTGGCGTTTTCCAGTGGCTGCAGTTTCTCAAACGGAAAGCGGGGGGCACAATGGCGCATTGCGACGTGAGACTGAAACGTGCACCCTAACATCTCTAGAACTGAGGTGAAAGACCCGGTCGGCAGGAGATCCCCGGTAATCCAGACGTTTCTGCCTGGTTTACTTTCTCATATAAAGGCCCCCTTCATAGTTCGACGGACAAGTTGCTCCATTGACAGCAGCCTGCTGAGAGCAAAGAGACTGCTAGCGATCCGCGACTTTCAGTGTGCTGATTGGCAATGAACAGCAGAGCCGTCACCCGTAGATACAAAGGTCCCCAATTGTGTTAAAGAAAGCGTTCTAGAGAAAATCGGCCAGTCTGGGGCAGGTGCGGTCGCTTTGGCGCTTATGGTAGACATGGGTACGGAACATGGGTGTGGGTGATTACAAGAATTAGGGTTTAGCGTTTATGAGCTTACTGCTGCTGAAACAAGGATTGTCCGAGACAACCCAGGGGCCCTTCACTCACCTCTCCGCCCTGCTTGAGCTTGTCAATTGAAGCGGCCAGAAATTGGCGGTAGTCCCCCGCCGCTGCCGCGACTGGGGAGTCCTCCTCCCAGTAAGGTGCATCCCCATAAGCCGCTGCCTCCGCGGCATCTGCTGCCGGTCGGCCATTGCTTTGGTTCTGCGAGACAGTGGGCAAGATCGTGGTTTCACCGGTTTGGACTACGGTTTTACAAGGGTAGAAAACGATGGAAGCAATGTAAACTATCGAGGAAGATGTAATGGAGGATTCCTTTGCCCCCATCAACGTTTGAAAGTGCACGATAGGCTCAGCTATTGCTCGCGAGCACGTTATGCATCCCCGTTCACTGTCTCAAAAGTCGCCAATGATACAAATCCACCGAAGGCTAGGTACTCGCCAATGAGGGCGCCCATACGCTTTCCTTCGTCTTCCGGCAGTACAGTTCTATGATCCATGAACAGAGTCTTTTGTTGATGGATGCCTCTCACAGCCACAATCAGGTGAATAATGGCGTCAGTCGACTTCTGGCAAGCTGTTAGTAATGACGGGACTTAACGCAGCAAGGAGCTCACCTCCGCCCTCGCTAGCTCCGCTTCGATGATGCCCCGCTTCTCCTCCGGCGACAGCTCCCCGCTTCTCGCCGCGTCGGATCTGCCCCCTTCCGCTTGCCGTCGCTCCTCCTCCGAGAAGATTGGCAACGACCACGGAACGGAAACGGGACTTGGGGGCGCTTGGATGGCGGAAGAAGAAGTTCGGGGTTTTTCGGGGGTTTCGCTAAACCACTCTAACGGGTTGGGTAGGTCGGGGAGTGGGCCGACGCCGAAGAGGGCCCCAGCGCGGCCAACGGCATCTTGCCACCTGTCACAGGGACAAACGCTGTGAATACGAAGTCGACATCTCATCGGATCTCTTATGATCGTGGATGCACTTGGTCGTGACAGACCCCTAGAGCAGTTCACACTCGTCTCCAAGGATTTCGCAAAGTGGATCAACAAGACTCTTGTCTGAAAGGGAGATTGTGTAAATCGCAGGATAGTGATCATCCTGATTGTTTAAGGAAAAAGCTCCCGTTTCAGACCCCACCCACCTACTGGCTTGTTGCATAACAGCCTCGATAGAAAAGTAGCGAAAGTCCAAAAGTCCAGAAGCAAAGCCACAGCAAAGCTCAGATAATCATGCAGATTTCGAGAAGCCAACCGCGTTACGATTTCGCCCCAACTTTCCGATTCTTGGCGACAATCACGACCCAAACTAGGTGCTCTGATGCTGACAGATCTAGGTCATATTCGGAGAGTCAACCTTAAAAAAGCAGATTTTAGGGCAGACAGCTTACCCAGCGGACCCCCAGACTTCCTGCTTGTCCGAATCAATGATGACTGTTCCCGTTCCCTTGTTTTTTCGCCGCTTCTTCTTCCGCAGCCCCTTTTCTACCTCCGCCTTCTTCGTCTTGAAAACGGCCTCCAGCGCCTCAACCTGCAAAAGCGGCCCCACATTCGAATCAGCTCCGAGCTCGGCTCTTCTGTTTCAAACGACTCCAGATTTGGCTCTCCTACTCATGTAACCGGTTTGAAACTTAGAAAAAGCCTTGACTTCGGTTTGTAGTAACCGAATGCTCTGGATCATCCAGCAATACTGCCTGTCAGAGCATGCAAAGTCACAGGTGTCATTTTGCAGCTTATGTCCCTGAAAGCCCTGTCACGTCTACAAGCGGTGATCGAAGCAAAAAGCAGGCTCCGACAATCAAGCAGCAATCGCAGCTTTCCAGAATCTGATACAACCCGAGCTCACCTCCCCCTTGAGTTTCTTGAGCGTCTCCACGTCCCCTTTCTGCGCCGCGCCCCCTTCGCTCTCCTGCACCAGCCGGTCCAGCTTCTCCATTGCCGCATCTACGCCGCTCAGTTCCGAATCAAACCGCGACAGCTGGCGCTCCATCGTGCGCAGCTCGTCGTCCTCCTCCGGCTGCCCGGAATCCGGCCCACCGAAAGCGGAACCGGACCCTGACTCCCAGAACTGCCCGCCTTCGTACGGAAGGTCGTCGTCCGAATACAGCGACCCGGACGAAGAAGAAGAGGACAAGGAGGAGGTCGAGGGCGGTCGGGGGAATGCCCCGGTTGGAGGAGGGGGGTGCGAGAACCGCTGCGACTGCACGCTCTTCCGGGGGGGCACATCTCTTGGTGCCGCGGGTTTTACTTCCGATTTTGGGCGCGAGAACAGCCGTCCAACGTTCCGGAAGCCCCCGGCAGTGGCCCTCCCCACGGCTGAAAAGAGTCCCCGGTCTAGTTCCGAGGCTTCCGTCTCGATCTGGGGGACTGTGACGGAGGAAGGTTTTGGCACCCCGGGGATTTGTCTCGGGGGGGGTTTTGCGAGGACGGCGTTGCAGGCGGCAAGGCGGCTTTTACAACCGCGGAGAAAGCGGGCGGCACGGGACTGGGGGTGGGAGCGCAGGTGGCGGCTGTGGGCCTCGAAGTCCTCCAGCCAACGCTGACACGTGGCAGCCGCCTTGGCCAACGCAGCAGCCCTCTCGGCCTGAAGATGAAGCACCAGAAAACATGGTGACATTCCTACGTGCTGCTGCAGGCTTCGACAGAGCGTTTGTGCTGAACCGGGAAGAGTGGCAGAGGACTAATCGAGTGCAGTGGAGTTTCATACTACCATAGTCCATCTGTGGTGAAACACAGGGTCGGCGGCTTACAAGCAATTGAGACAGGTTCTGCAGGAAAGCTTCTGTCAAAACGCTGAGGTATCTGCTGTGCACGGGACAGGGTGAGAAGCCGTTGATTTTAATTTACCAAAAACTCTGCTCGTTTCGGGAGAATTGTGAGCAGGCGAGGATCGACTAGAGGAGACGGACGCAGGTTCGGTAACGACGGCAATCAGCGCAAGCCACAGCCGTCAATGCCGTTTCATCCCTGCTTTCTTAGCTCATGCGCAGACCAAGAACAGGCAGTGGGTTTCCTTCTGGTTATGGATGCCGTTGCTTCAAGTGAGGCGCATCTCTACCACAAGTCATTTGAAGTCTTAATGCGAAGCATAATTTTCCGTCCGGATTCGCACCCTGCTCGCCAGCGGCAGCGCCGCTCCCCCATGGCCGTGGTCCCCGCTGCCCGCGCTGAGCTCCTCCCCCGGGTAGAACGGCAGCCACTGCATTTCCTCGCAGACGACCTCCACGAACAGCTGGAACAGGGGCAACCGCGCGAGTTCCGGGTAGAAAAGGACGCCCCCCCCCTCGAAGTAGCGCAGGAGACCCCCCATGGCCTCGTCCTCTGCGGCGCCCTTTGCGCTGAGGAACAGGCGGGTGCTGCGGCCGAGCGCGACGAAGAAACCGAAGATGGCGAGGTCCGTCTTGAGAGAGTCGGGGGAGGAATCCTGGGAAGAAAGTAAGAATCATGACCAGCCTGGACTGGTGGGTGTTGACATCGGGGGGAGTCCGCTGGAAGCGCACTGCAGATCGATCTCCATCCATCCTTCCTGTCAAAGCATACGTGGTCTTTACGTACAACTAGGCCGTGAGGCTTACAATTTGGCCAACACTGACAGGTGGAGTGGGGCTAGAATGGCACTCGGATACAAGGCGTTTTCACGAGGTCTTCTGAAACTATCTCGCAGCTCAAACGCTCACCTCCTGTGGCGCTCTTGCCATGCCTAGCAGATCGGGCCCCTCTCTGGCAAGCGCAACCCCGAGCTGCCGCTCCACCAGGTCGATCCAGAAGGCCTTCTCCTCAGGGGCGATAAGCCGTGCGTTGTTGCTCAGGCGTTCCGCAGCGCGCCGTGCGTAGCGCTCCAAGAACTCACGGCGCAGGCCCGAGGCGCAAGCCGTCTCGTAGACCTGGCGGCATTGGATGTAACGTTTGTTGCAACTGACAAGAGTCTGCTGGAAACCTGGCAATCTCAAGAGAAAGTTAGCCGCTTTCAGTTGATGGACCAACTTGAAGCAGCACAGCAGACAGAGGCTGCTTATAGCAGTGTCGTGAAGATATTACTCTTCTTGGTTGAGACTACGGAGACTGCTTGCCAACCCTTTCAATCAGGAAGACCACGGAGACTGCTTGCCAACCCTTTCAATCGGATCGATTTGTCAGACCGATGTCAAACCAGTCAGCACTCAAACTGGACCAATCGACGGCGCAATCCTTTGGGCTCCACTTCATACACCTCGTAAAATCCACCGATGTGTCTGCCGCCAATGAATGAAGACGTTATTTACGACAGCCCCACCTTTTCCGACGACACGAGCGTGCCAAGCAGGTTCATCAGCTTCTCGACCTCCTCCTCCAGAATGGCCGGGAAGGGGTCACAGTCCATGGCCGCCTGGCCCAGCTTGGCCACCGCCCCCTCCACGTGTAAAGCCATCTTCAAGAGGGCGGCGTCGCTCTCCACGCCTGCCAGAGAAGAAATGTAATCAACGGTTGTAGACAGCCGCTGTTTGACGTGACCTTGTGCTCTCAGCGCCCGCCAGAAAAGATCAAGCAAGACGTGTCGTTCAGCCAGTCGTGTCCTAGGAGTTCTTGCCTCATGATGACTACTAGCGATAGGACTGAAGAGCGATTCGTTCCAGCTGGGTCAACAAGACCATCCCCAACTGCAGCTATCTGCGAGTGTGTGTGTAATCTGAGTGGAGAGGGCGTTCTAAGGATAAGGTGGGGGCACAGGCCCTAAACCTGTGCTTTACTGTACTTGACTTTTCAACACTTGAACAGATTGATTGTAGGCAGCCATATTGACTGCAACTGAAGCAGATTGCAGCGCATCACAAACTTCAGGTTATCGGCCAGATGTCCAACCTGGTTCACAAGCGGCCTCCCTCAAGGCTGTACACACCCCAAACCGGCCATCGTTTTCGAGAACCCCAAGGAGGCTTTGCAGGGCAGGGGGGTACGGTACAGCCCAGAACCAGCCCCCCGCCAGAGGGTCACGTGCATCCAGAGCCGCAGTGATTGCACTTTCCAAGGGCGCTCGTTGTCTGGCCAGACTCTTAATGACAACTGTATGGGCGTCCCGGTCACGGGCCTCCCCCCGGTCGGCCACGTCCCCTGCAGCTTTTAGGAGAGCGTGCACTGCGGCCTGCACGATGTCGAGAAGATGACTGTGATATCGCGTAAGTCTCAACAGGCTGACACTGGCCCAATTGACTCAACAAAGACCAAAGACATGGAGTCAGTGCTCCTCTTCTGACCACTGAGTTAATGAGGTCATCCGAAAGGTCAGCAAGATTGATTAATTGTAGTACATACTTAACAACATCCAAAGCTCGACGGAAAAGTAGACAGAGTATTAACACTTCAGACACGTCAGATGGATGTAGCTGCAAGGCAAATCATGTTTCCTTCTCCACCTGTCACTCGCTTCAATCAAGCACAAGCCAAGGACAGGGCACCTGAATGCAGGGTCAACAGTCAAGTTCGCTTCTTAACAGCGTGCAAAACAAATGAGAACTCACAGCTCTCAGTCGTCACAGCTCTTAGTCGCAGGTATACTTGCCTGATATCCCACGCTCCTCATCCATGCATTCTTGTCGATCCCCAGCCACTTTTGGGCAAACCAGGGACCTTTGGTGAGGCTCTCCTGCTCCACTAGCGCTAGTCGCAGCCTCTCTGCGTGCTCGTGGAGAGCCGTGACAATGACATCCCCAGAGGGAGAACTAAGAGGTGTCGCTAGTTCAACCTTAGCTGTCTCGGAGTCCAAAGGAACTTTGTCATTTTGAGGCAGAGCATGATCGTCCGAGTATGCTCTGACGAGGGGGCTTCTGTCCCTTGCTTTTCTTCCGGAAGGAAAGCCAGGATGCTCTTTCTGTGAAGGCAGGGTTAGGTGACCAAAAGACAAACGGTTTGTCAAATGCCGGCAAGTTGCAGGGGCATTGAAAAGAGCCACTTCTAACCGTCGAACATTGTGGGGTAATTGCGCCTTTATCTTCAGGGGAGGCAACTGATGGACAGTAGTGCACTTGCTTGGAGCCCCTGAGTGGACGGAACGAAGGTGCCACCGCCGTACATGAAAGGTGGATAGTTGGGGCCCCCCCATAGCTAACCTGCAGGCGTATTAGAAATTGATAAGTGGACACGACCAGAATAGATTCTGCACAGAGGTATATAAAGCAAACATTATAATGTGATGATGAAGACAGCAATGTAATATCATCTGCCAGAAATGAGGCGAAAGGCCTGTTGCAATGGCAAAAACTGTGTAGTCCCCTTCCTGTGACTGAAATGACCTGAAATGCTGAACTCTTTCAGAGTGTGGCGTATGGTAAAACCCAGACTGAAGGTGCGAACTGCAGCGGCTCAATGCCACAAAGCGTGCAGGAAGACCAGCATTGCAGCCAACAGATACCTTTAAAGGTGACTTTGAAAGTGTTCTCGCAAAAGAAGTTAAGGAGGTATTACAACAAAACGATGTTCCAAGGATGCTTAGATAAAAGAAAATGCTTTGCTTAGTCCCAAACTTATGATGCAGGGGCCGCACCTTTAAGATGCTGACGATCTTGCGACCAGTTTAGGTGCCACCACTAGCATTCGATGCATCACTTTCTGAATGCCATGTTTTGGCCTCGCTGGGTCCAGCCTTCCCTTCGTATAGCCAACCAAGCTGCCTGCACCTGTTCGTCAGAGCGCTTTGGCTACAAGACACCCTCATGTGGCGCCCAATAGGTTTCTAAGATAGCATCTTCAGCCAAGTTGCTTGTGACTCTTGAGCTGTTGTGAGCCAGGAAAGAGATGATCATGAAGAAGCGATGGTCACAAACCCTCTCTGCTACTTAACCTTCTTACACCGGCCGAATCGAACTATATAACCGGCCAGTCATTAAGAGATTGTCTCCGCGGTCGAGTGGCACTTCTTCGCTCTGAGATTCATCGGCGAAGTCCGGAACTATAAAGTCTCAACCTTTTCTGGTCATCGAGATTAGATTAAGTCATATCGAACGACGCAGGTTCGGTACACGGTAAATCTAACTGGCGCTCACTGACGGGTAGCAACGAGAGCTACTTGTACCGTCGGATATTAGATCACCTATATCGACGACTGGAAAAATACAGCACGACTGGCGGATCCAACCGGGACCATCCAGCACACAAACTCGATTAAATAGGAATCTGATATGAAAATTGTAATGCATATGTGGGAGCTTACAATTATCTTTCAAATGAAGACTGACAATCTGTAGGTTACGGCAGGATATACTTGTGCATCTGCATGCAAACGTAATACGTATATATTCGAGTATTGAAGGCCGTATATGTGGAGAACATTGGCCAGTAGGCCAATGTTCCACACCCCTCAAAAACCCTCTTAAGCGTCAGGTTATGGCGAGCCAATCTCTTCCACCTCTTAGTTCAGGCTTATAGGGGACCGGGTTGGCCGTCGAGATGCCCCCGGCTACTATGTAGGATAATACGAGGGTGAAGCTAACCCAGAAGTTGGAAAGCAGGCTGTCGAGCTGGTCAATGCAGGCCTGGGTACAACTTCAAGGTTGCAGGTTGAAGCTAGTTTGGTGATTGAAAGGAGGACGCGTTTGCAGCTGCAGACGTACAGCGGGTGCGAGAACGTCTTTGAAAAGAAAGGCACTGGATGATTCTGCCAGACAAAAAGGATGCAAGCAGTGTCAAGCCGCACGCTCAAGCTCCTTCCTCGCACTCAGATTGGGGACGATGGTAGACTTTCTACCATCACACGCCTTCCCCTTGTCCCAATTCAAAGAGCTGAAGGTCGTAAAGGCAAGCTTAGGAAGACCAGCGTAGTTGCATGCATTGGGTCCAAGCCTGAGAGCGCAGTCCGAGCCCCTGGATACAAACCACAGAAGCTGAGTGTTTCGGGTGATGCACAGCATCTTCACCAATCAAAGATGGTCTTTGGTGACTCGCATACTACGCATTCCAGGCGTTCCTCGGTCCGAGCAGCAGGTATCAACTCGCTGATCCAAGTCCCAGATCTCAAAATGAGTATCTTCTGAAAGATGGTCGCTCAGAATCCTGAGTAGACTTTGTTTTTAGGCGAAGTCTTCCTGACGAGCGCATTACATGATTCAATTTGTTTTCATCACAATTCCTTTGAGCTGTTGCTTCAATTGCAGAAGCAATTGAGTGATGAAAGAAACAAACACAAGTTGTGCGCCAATGCCCTCTTGAATTGAAGGGTCAATTTGTGGTCAAGTTGGTGGCTACCTCACTCCTTGACACTGTTTTGCAGCCGCAGATCTCGAGGGGAGACCTGACAAAAGCATGACAGCCACAGGTTCTGTCATTCCGGCCGTGGCAATTGCGTGTCTGGGCGCTCTCTTATTTGGCTACCATTTGGGGTGAGAGTCTTGTGTTGATTGCAAGACTCGACTGTTTGCAGTCTACATGAATGGGCCTCCATGATGCCTTCCATCGAGGTGGACAAGGAGGAGTCTGGTTCTCTAAGAGTCTTTGTGTTTGATTAGTTATTTCTCGAGAACAATGAAGGCATTGATCCACGTTAGAGGCACCAAAACGCAGATCAAAGGTAACTTTGTACCTTCCCCTAGAAGACACAGGAGTCTTGCACTGCTTGGCTTTTTCTCCTCTTATGATCTTCCTTGATCCTTCTGGCTGTCAATCCAAGCCATTGAACATAGAATTCCAACAGGCAGGCAGAGCTGAACATACTTGTTCTGTTTGCCAACCTGATATCAGAGGGTTATGGCTAATTTCACCTTCATGAGATTCATGAGACTCTCCTTCTCTTCTCCCTGACAAACTAGCAGCTCCTCCAAAAGCATCAAATGAATAAAAGCTGAACTGGTGGTTGCAGGGTTGTCAATGGGGCCCTTGATTACATGTCAGGCGAGCTAGGATTCCGAGGAAACACTGCCATCTCTGGGTTAGTGGTGAGCATTACTTTGGCGGGCGCAGCGTTGGGCTCTGTGGTGGGGGGGAACTTTGCGGAAAAGTTTGGAAGGACCCGGGCCCTGCAAATCAATGTTCTACCCCTGGTCGTTGGAGCATTTGTATGGTGAGGTTCTCCACTTCATTCCTCATAGGGGCCTCCTAAAACTGGGCAGTGTGCTGCTTTTTCCCAGCCAGCGAACAGAAAGGATTGCTGTCTAAATCCCTCCCTCTCTGGTGGAAGCACTGCAAGCTGGTCCGTCCCAAGAGCGCGTTCCTGACGGAATACTAAGGACTTACGATCGGACTCTCTTTGTGTAATATTTGTTAGCAGAAGTGAACGTGACAAGTTGCAATGCGCATCTGATCTCGACCGTTCTTTAACATCAACGCCAGTCGATGGGGGCCTGATGCGTTGTGTCTGGACTTTCGCTGGCAGTGCCACTGCCGGGTCTACCTCAATGATTATCGCTGGACGGCTGATCTGTGGAATCGGCATCGGTCTGTCATCAACTCTTGTGCCCTTGTACATATCTGAGGTGGGTTACACTGCCTATTTTTGGTTCCATAATTCGTCTCAGGGCATCAAATACCTTAGGATTTCATGCTCTGTCTGATTGCACTCCAACTTGCGTCGAATTTCGACTTTGACTTTCTGGGGTCCTCCTTGTGTTTAAGGCACACACTTCAAAGTCCTGCAATTGCACGCAAACGAGTCAACCGGAAAGCTGCTCGGCCAAGTACTTCGCATTCACACGATTGTGAACTTTGTTCACTCTCCTCTTACCACTCAGGTTTCCCCTCCCAACATCAGAGGGGCTCTGGGGTCCGTCAACCAACTAGCAATCTGCATAGGTGAGTGTACTGGAACAAAAGTGGGAACTGTTTCAACATGCGTCACATTTTTGAAAACCTACTATGTGGATCGACTTGATGTTTCCTTGCTGGCGGTGCACTTTGAGCTCGACTGGCAAGGTGGGCACAAAGGCAGAAAATTTGTAGACTCTTCTTTAGCACACACAAATGATCGGATCCAGGAAAGGATGACCACCACCAGATTGCTTCATCGCCCTACAATTTTCGCGCCTAAGAAGACGTTTTGCTTCCAGAGGCCGCTTTTCGTACAACTTTGTCGCAGACGTGCACACACACAAAATCTGGTCCAGATTGTTTTCTCAAAGCGTTAAAGAAGCGCACAATCTCCATACGAAATCGCACCTGCCCTGATTGGCAGTCTATTCAACTCGTTGTATGCTGCAGGCATTCTCGGTGCTCTTCTGGCCGGCCTTCCTCTGAGCGAGAATCCGGGCTGGTGAGTCGAAGACCAGCAGGAATTCGCTTCATTCTAAGTTGGCAAAGTCAGGGGCAACTACGAGGTTTTGCACCGCGCCATCATCGAAGACTCCTTGTAAGACATGCGGTTCTTTTCGCAGTTCCACGTCGATATTGCTCTTCTTCGATACTCACTTGCAAAGGTTTGAAGATGACCAGTTTCTGCGATTCTTCTGGTTTGATTCTGTTGAAGCTGGACAGTACAGGAGTGTGACTCGGCAGACCAAGTCTTTCATTTTACCTTGTTCTATTCGCATTTGTCACTGGCCCTTGGATCGACTTGAAGGCCAACGTTCCACTTGACACACAGAACTGGTCCACGACCAAATCCCTCGAGCTAATACAAGAGCTGCTTTTGCATTCCACATAAGATTATGCAGACATATGTCCGATGTTTGTCCGCAACCACGTCGAGCGCCGCGTTGTCAGTACCGACGTGATTGCACACAACCCAAGCATTGCCACTGTATACATCCAGACAACCTGAGTCGAACTTTTATCTGCTGCACACCAGCGAGACCGTCCGGTTGTTTCCTCTACAGGTGGCGAACCATGTTCGGGATTGCCGTCATCCCTGCGGTGCTTTTGGGCGTCGGCATGGCGTGGGCCCCAGAAAGCCCGAGCTGGCTGTTCAAGGTGAGGACATAATATTGGGAGCGCTCCAAACAAAGGAAGGTTTAGGTACCAAGCCCCACATCAAACTTTGTCAGGCCGACGCTCACCAGATTGTTGGCTTCGCTTGCTAGGAAATCCTGCTTGCGGCACCGATTCATAACTCGACGGGGTCTTGGTGGCGACTCCTACAGCGACTTTGGCAATTCGGTCGAGCGGATGTCTTCAAAAAGGGAGTGTTCTCGCACCATGTTCGTTCAAGCGGAGCCTCTACGAAGGATCTTGTGAAACACGACACAACAGGGTCACCAAACGTGGTTAGTCATCCTGTGCATCTGCTGACACGATTGTCCTTTCTTGCAGCACGGACGATCAGCGGACGCTGAAGCTGCTGTCCGAAAGTTGTGGGGCGCTGCGGATGCTGCTGGCACAATTGCGGAGCTGAAAGACAGCGCACTTGCGGGCAAAGGGGAAGAGGAGGCGGGGTGGGGAGACCTGTTCAGCAAGCGGTACAGGAAAGGTGAGGACTACGCTTCTCCCGCGCCGGCTCAAATCGTGCTATTGCAGCTTCTAGAGATGGAGGCGATGTTCGTCGGGGGAGAAACTTGTTTTCAAGCGAAGTGCCCGTACGTCAAGTCTTGGGTGTTCTTCTAAAAGCCAGCAGCTTATTTAAGGAGCTCGCTGATTGAATCGAGGAGACTTGCTGGCAGTTTCGACCATTTGAGTTCGTTGGTCTCAGCTGGTATTCGGAAGCAGTCTGGATTCCCCAAAACGTCTTGAGACGTTCTTTTGAAATCTCGCTTTAGAACACAGCCAGCAAATACTAGTTCGCTGCGACAAGTGGGTACATACTAAGGTCAGACGTGGTTGACGGTCTGCGCGCAGATATTAAGCCCATATGGCGGCTTTGAAGGGACATCTATACAACTCGTACGTAAATGGTCGCAAAGAAATCACGAACCCTTCCGGTCGCTAAGGGGTCCCATTCTTCCGTTCAAGCTGCCCGCCGTCCCACCGTGACACTCACTACATCCATGTGCAAGCGTTCTCGCTCCAGTAAAATTCTAAATGAAGAATAGTCGTCGACGCCTTCCTGTCCTGCAGTGACGCTCATCGCGTGCGCGCTGTTCCTGCTGCAACAATTCTCGGGCATCAACGCGGTCGTCTACTTCAGCACGACGGTGTTCCGCAAGGCGGGCGTCGCGTCCGACATTGCCGCGAGCGCGCTGGTGGGCGCGGCCAACGTGTTCGGCACGGTCGCGGCCTCGGCGATGATGGACTCGCAAGGCCGGAAGAAGCTGCTGCAGTCGAGCTTCCTGGGCCAGGTATGCAGGGCGCTCTTTTCTCCTCCGTCCTTTGCTCCGCTGATTTTTCTTCGTCAAATCTGCCAATAAATTCCTCTGTTGATGTACCCCGTCAATTTTCCAGCCGCCAGACTTGACACCGATTGCGGACCGTTTCGGTCCTTCAATCAACAAATTGTGTCCATGAGACGGCGGAAGGACACCTTCAGCTAGGCGGCCAGATTCATCAGGTGGGCAGTATAAAGTGGCCGTCTACACTGAGGTTGTCCGAGTTGCAGGCTTGGAGCGCAGTGCTTGATGTCTGTTTGAGGACTCGATCGGATGTTGCACGATCAGGGGGCTTGACCTTGGGGGTTCCTACCTAGTTAATTTTCTGATCCGGTGCATAAATGCTGGCGTCAAATTGTCCAGTCAAGGCGACGAATGAGCGGGTTGTTGCTCAGGAAGATGTGCGCTGAACAATTCGCAAAGGTTCTCGTCCAGTCCCGGTTGATGCAGGAACGGTGACAACACGCGTCCTGTTATCTGCCGATTGCGTGTAAGAGCTGTTGCACATAGAACATGCTCCAACCGAAAGGCGTCGGTATGATCTTATTACGCAGACCTCTACGTGTAAGTCTGACAGCTCGGTTTTGCAGGCAACGTCGAGCTCGCTCGAGCCAAAAATTCGTTCGTTCCCCCCTGCCAAGGTGTGTTACTTTCAGATGCTCGTTCACAAAGCCTTTCCAAGGATCGCTCGCGACTTCAGATCAATTCAACGAGCGACTCAGTCCCAAAATAATCAGGGCAAAAGAATTTCTCTCAATATTCGTCTCTCGCGTGCTGTCCAGGCTGCCATGATGATCCTGCTCGCTGCCGGCCTGACCCTGCCAGCCTTGGAGGCGTACTCGGGTACCATCGCCGTTGTTGGAACTGTCCTGTGAGATTGCTTTCCCCATCTCAACTTCTGCAGGCTGTTGAATAGCGGCCTTTCGATCTTCCTTTCAATCTCCGAAATGAGTGACGTGGAAGGTGGCTGCCTGACTCTGAAGCAGTGGTTGTCGTGTTCCTGGGCATCAGTCCCAGCTTGAGGTAAATGTACAGGACCTTGTAGACGCATTCTTACACAGTGCATGCATCTATCAGCGACTTCGTGCGCCACCCATGGTTGCATGTCCATTGCGCCGACTGTAAAGGCCCTTTCTAAACTGCCCCGGCTGGAGGTTGCGACCCTCTGAGCTGGGTTGAGGAGCACGAAAATTGTCTGGCACTACTTAGTGAAGCCGTGCTTTGGACTCGTCAATGGGCTCTCACGTGTCCGTCTGTCTTTGCAGGTACGTGCTTGCGTTCTCCTTTGGAGTCGGTCCGGTGCCGGGGCTGCTGGCGGGGGAGATCTTGCCAGCCAGGATACGAGCCAAGGGCGTCTCTCTGGCTCTCTTCACTCACTGGGTAAGAATTTTTTCGGGGATCCGCACGTCAGATTGATATGCTTGTCGAGACCGAGCCGTCTTCCCTTGGGATCGGGGGAATTTTGCACCGATTTGGGATTAACTGGGGAAGTCGGAGTGTGGATTGGTCAGGCTTAGGCAGAGATGGCCGGAGAGGCAATTGTCACGTGAAGTAGCTCACATCAGCTGGTCATGCGGCAAAAACTGTAACATCGTCTTTACATCGCCTTTTGCTGATATGCAGGCTTGCAACTTCTTCATCGGACTAACGTTCTTGGCACTGGTCAACAAGTTCAGCATCGGACAGGTCTACCTCGGGTTTGCAGTCGTGTGCATTGCGGCGGCTTCGTTCGTGTCGAGATTCGTCGTGGAAACGAAAGGCAGGTCGCTTGAAGACATCGAAAAGCTAATGGCTTCAAATGTTTGAGAGGGAGTCTTGAGAACCGGCTAGCGCTGTTGACCCTTAAAGAATCTGTCCTAACCTTCCCAGTTGCGCGCTCGTAGAGCACAAGGCCGTTGCAGAGTAAAGGTTTGGCAACCCCTCCTTACGGGGAGCTATTGACTTAATGTTCGCGAGAAACCTCCAACAGCAGATCAAACGAGTATATGTTTACTACGATCGACTTGAAGCTTCTTGCAGCATGATGGTACATGGTTCAAGTGCATAAGAACAAACATGCAGGCTTGCGCGGCCATCCCTTGCCGCCATTGATCAAACATCAAGTTGTGATGTAGCTCAACCACTAAGATTGCGAGCATACATGCATCATTACGCCGCCTGATATAACGTCGCCACAGCTGTATCTATGATTCCTTGAGCTCAGCACTCACGGAAGCTCCTTGCATGACCGCGATCGCCGAGATTGAGCGTCTGGCAATGCTTTACATATCATGAACCTTACGTCAAATGCTAGCATGGAATCATCATTGAATGAGCGAG